CGCGGGAAAATCAAGGCGGAAAAGATAACGTTGATAGACAGATGGAAAATGAGAATAACAGGCAGATAGAGGAGGTACAGGTAGGGAGTGAGAGCGCGAGAGGATCGAAATGCATTCGCGATCCCCCTGAGAACCACCCCGGTAAAGCTCTGCCGCAGTATACTAAATCACCATTCCCCAGTGGGGAGTACGTCCGTATACCCTGGCGGGATGACGCAGGAATGAGTAGTGTGGGCGAACCCCGGTCATTCTTTATATTTTATTCACGTTTCATTTCATCCCCGGACTCCACGTAGCCGAAAAGAGCAGACGGGAAGCCATAACGAGAGCAACAGTGCATCATCCTGAGAGACGTGCATGCGATGATACATCGTCACGACGATCTTTGCGTTCTCGAAAGAGTAGTGATCGATCAAAATACTAGAAACTTAATTCTTTCATGTATAATACAATACAAGCAATTTGATTGAACTGGTTTCAATTTTTATCTCTAATCGCATTTGCTTCTTGCAAATTAAATTGACTGATTGTTTCAATTTCTGATTATATCCTGATTTACCAATCGCAGTTGAGAATGTGGGTTGGTACATTTTTATTTAATAATTCATCATGTTCAATATTTTTATCATTATGAATTTATTGCGACTGTTATAATGGAAGAAAATATAACCGATAACATTACCAGAACGAAAAGCATTGTGTGAAAGATAGACAGAATAAATACTATCAACTTTTTGCGTAATTATAAATTGTATAATTTCAATCGTTTTATTAATTTTGTCAAATTTGTATTTAATTTCTTTACACTGAGAATGACCGAATAATAAGATCAAAACGTATGTTCTAAGAATTTGAAATACATAAAAATCTGGTAGCCCTTTCTTGTTATTTATTGTTTATTATTATTGAGCCATTATAAGATTATTTTTAATAATTCTTTCACTGAAAAAAATGTTTGGTTCAAAATGAACAAAGCAGAAAATTTTGATTATATCAATCAAAATTGTCTGTGTTGAAATAGTAATAGTAGTACAGAGTATTTTTCAAAAGAATTTATTTACATAAATTATTGCGTGCGACGGGCTTCGTCGCAACTAATTTTTACATCTAATTTTTACATTTGTGTAATTAAACATGAATATATATTATCGAAGATTATATAGTATGATTATAAAAAATGAGATTATATATAAATATAATAATTGTAGAATTGTAAAATTGTTTTTCAAATAACTATGAATAATTAAGTATTATAAATTAGCAAAAGTTTTTAGATGATTTAAGATGGAATAGCTAGTCGCTGCAATTTATTTCAGCTTGTAATTTATTAATGTAGTACTTGTATGACAATTATAAAAAAATAGGTAAACGAGATTGATGCTTTACATTCTTAAATTCAGAAAGATTTGAAGAATTCGAAGTTGCGAGTAATAATAAGTATTATATGAACTCAAAGAATAAAGACAAGATTTAAAATATCGTATAAAACTGCTTGCAAGATTTATTTCAAAGAAGACATCAAAAGACAGAAAATGCGAAACAATGCTAGCTCGGCCACAAGAAAATATCATATATGTTTCACCGCACACATAAAATATATACATTCTTCTTTTATAACATTGCGTCATAAAGTCAGCCATGTAAAGACAACAAATCGAAAGCTTCCTTCTATTTCAAACGTTGCAACAAGTCGGAAACTCGTGTCGTCCTTCCAACAGTTTTATTCCACCGGTATGATGTATCATTTTTATTGCCAGTCTTAGTGGCAGTTTTAAGCTTGCAGCACCGCGAAAAGTTAGAACATACGTCACAGAGAGAAATGTTTATGTTTCTGCTTTTATATTATATTAACAGACAAATAAAAAGTTCCCACTTTCATATTAACAGACAAAAAATTTTTATTTATTTAATATTAATTTATTATTTAACAGGACAGAGTGGCGGAATTGCAAACATAAGTGTAAACAATATTATTGTAATATATTAAAGTAGTGATAATTTCTGATTTTTTTCTTGCACACAGCGATAGTTTGATACACATTTAGTGTCATACTATACATTATGATTATAGAATGCACAC